GTTCAAGGTAGCCTAGATGGAGGGGAGATAGAGAATTGTTTCTCTTTTGTTTTGGTGTGGGATGTGACACATCAGCAGAATCAAGTCAGGCATTTTCCAGATTTTTGACACGCCAAGTTCAAAAGGTTTGCCATCACTGATCTAATGTATGCTCAGTTGGAAATCAGCTTCACCATAAGCTTAGTATAGGTAAGTGCTCATTGAATGCAATTATGATTTGCAAATTATTACTCTCCCAAAAATAGATATTTGGGGAAACTGTTAGGAGAGTTGCTTTGGCAAGTATCAGCCCAGATACAGCACTCAATAGACCCTGGGACAGGATGAGTTATGACTTGATCCCTGATATTGGATCCCTGTCGTATGATTGTGATTGGGTTTTATTTATTTTTTCTTCCTGCCATTGGCTATTACTGTTGATGGTTTCTGTGTTTATTTTTATTGTCAATTATCAGATGTTTTTAAAACGTAATCCTCTGTGATTAAGATGACACATTGGTTCATTGAATTAATAAATCAAACAGTTTCCTGGGGTTTTCAATAAAGCTTCTGATTTTTCTAATTCTAGAATACCTTTTTATGTCAGTTTTTGAAGACCAGGTTAGGGGCCTTCTGCTGAGTTGCCCCTGCTTTCTGTCCTCAAGTTCTGTTCTGATGTCAATAGGTAGTATTTTAGGCTTTAAACTCCTCTCTTTTCTTTTTTAAAACAGATGAGGAATTAGCATCAGAAGCTCCAGCCCCTTCCTCATTTGCCCAGAATACCAAGGCTTTGTTAAATCAGATAAAGAAGAGGCATCCTATTGGTCCCATATCTAATGATCAGATACTCCTCACTGTCAGTACAGTACACCATGCCTACCAACATGATGATGTCAGTGCCAATATGGCATACAACATGAACATTAATGATGCTTGGGAACCTATTCAGCCCAAGAAAGAACTGCCCAGATCATCTCTATCTACTCAAAGTTCAAAGTTCAAGGCAATAGATCTAGCAACCCAAGTGAAACAACTAAAGGCTGCTGGTGGCACTTTAGGTATGGAAAAGATTTCCTCACCTTATGAAACCAAAATACTACAGCTCAACACAAAGAATTCTTTGCTTGGGGGTAATGCGAAATCCTTCATTCCTCCCCCCTCTATCACACGTTCCAAGTCTTGCAGCAGTTTGTCAAGAAAAAAAGCTTATTTTAAGATCTCATCTGCTGCTGCTGAGAGTAATATCATTGGTGGCTTTACAAGTTCAGTTGAATCCATCAAAATACCACGAATGAAGATTGCCCAACCTGATACAAATGCAACTTCACGGCGCAGAAAATTTTTCCATGCCCTTAATGTAAATCCTTATCGTTATAATTCTGGGTTTCGACTTCTGACTACACAACAAATGAAAGAATATGAAGAAGCTAAGATTGCAGAGTATCAGGCAACCAAGACAAAAGTTATTGCAAATAGAGAAAAAGTGTGTAAAAATGCTTGGGTGAGGAAAATTAAAGGTCTTCCTATAGATGACTTTACTAAGGAGGGTAGAACTGCTGCTCCTGAACTTGGAGATAATGTTTTCATTTGAGACTAACTTTTTTAATACAACTGACAAACCCTGAAAACAAATGCAAAATTCTGGCCCAGGTACTCTTGATTTCCTCTGCTGAAACTTTGCCCTATTTCCCTCTTTTGGGAGACTGTGACAAACTGTACTATATCGATTAGACCTTTGTTTTCAAAAATTGGGACTCTTGAGTTTTCCTCCCTTTCCCAAAATAATTCCAGTTTGCAACATTTGTATTTTAAAGTTACCGTTCTGTTCATGCAGGTTTATTTAAAAGATTGATGATACCTTTTGTAAATTTTGCTTCAGAAATTATATGTGTGCATTCCTGAGGTGTCTTACTTAGCTGATATCTTAATGTAACTGTTTCACTGTGTAGTTATAAAAGTTATCAAAATTATATCTTTACAAAATATTTTTAAGAACTTGAAATTAGTATTGTTTTGTACTGTACTTTCTTATAGGGTAAGTCTTTGCTTTACAGATTTTGTTCTTAGCTGCAAAACAGAACAGAGATCAAATCAAATGTTTTTATTTATAATTTGCAAAAATGACACAGCAGGGTAGAAGTACTGTATATAGTCCTAGACAGAAAATTTAAGTTAGTGACCCTTCTTCTCACATAAAAAGCTCCTTGGGAGCAACTGAATCACATTTCCAGCAATACCTTTTTGTTAGCAGATACCTGAGGGGAGAGGGAAGCTGTTATAAAATAACAGGAGCATCTATAGCAGTGGTGGCGAACCTATGGCACGGGTGCCAGAGGCGGCACTCAGAGCCCTCTCTGTGGGCACTCGCGCCGTCGCCCCAGTCCTAGGCCTTCAGCTGGGTTTTATAAAACCTTTTCGCTTTAGGCCTCCGCCGCCGTGTGCAAAAAAAAAATAAAATTCAATCAGTCAGTCAATTTCAACTTCTTGCGGGGAAAAAAAGTTCTTGCAAAGTTGGAATTGATTGATTGAACTTTTTAGTCTCACCCAGTCTGCCGTTACCACCGCAGCCATGCCCACCCAATGGGCCACATCCACCCAGTGGGCCACACCCACCCGGCACCCGCTGATGCATAAGTGGGTTTTGGGTTGCAGTTTGGGCACTCGGTCTCTAAAAGGTTCGCCATCACTGATCTATAGGTTCTTGCTACATTTGTCAAAGCTCTGTCCCTTTGAAGCATGCATGCAATCAAAAATTAGGCACACATTCAAAAATTGGGTAGGACTTGGGACACAGTCAAAAATTGGGTAGGACTTGGGATACAACATTGCAGTGCATTGTACATCACTCTGAGCTGATCAGAAGGAAAAACAATGGCCACAAAAATAACAATTTGGGAAAAAAATGGATGGATGGTATTAAAGCTAAAGTATTAGTCTGGATTGGAGAGATCCAGGTTCTCATTTACATTTTTTCAGGTCACCCAACCTCACAGACTAGATGGGGCAATGGGGAAGGGAGATGCAAATGCTATTGAAAAAGGTAAGATGGAAGTTAAACATATTTTAGCATGGGTGCTTTCTACCGTCATCTGGCCCCAAATATTGCAGAGGCTTTTGGCAGGAAAGATTGAATTTCAGCTTAACTGCATCAGGTCAGCCATCACTATAGCCTTTGCGCCTGTTCCTTGCATGTAGTTTAATTTGGCTACATTCCTCAAAGCTATGGAAAGAACTTAAAATAACAATTCAAATTCAAAGATTTTGCCTGCAAATCATGCTTAAGAATAATGTTAAAATCATGTGTTTTGGAAGAATGAAGCAAACTATTTTGAGAGCAGCCATGGACAGAAAAATATAATAGGAAAGTTAAATATTTTTGAACCATATAATTATTAATAGTAAATATTTAAAGGCAAGTTTATTTTCTCATGTTTCACAAGTATGCAGTGGGTAGCACACACAAAAACATCATTTGTAAGCATTATAGTGGGATGTCCTATATAAAAAAAAAACCTTTTATTTTGCCAGTAGGTTGTATTGGCAGATGGGTCTTATGGACTTCCACATACTTACTTAGTGCAATGATTGTTAGAAAAAAAATAAGCTCAAGTATTTAACATTCACTATTGTATTGTTATGACATTTTTATTTTGCATTACTGAGATCTTTCACAGAGACATCCATCTCTGTTTTCTTCACAGAAGATAATGGGAAATACAAATATGGAGCAAGATTATTACAGAAAGAGACAAAAATGGGTTGTTACATCTGTCAGTGTCCTTGAAGATTCTAGAGGCCATCCATCCAACACTCTAAAAATATAGCCAGATTGATTTTATCAGGGCCCTCCTCCCACCCACATTGTTAAATCATGTTCAGTGCTTTCATTGATGCTTTGCAGTAAAAAAAAAAAAAAAAGCTGAGGGAGACCTGGAAAGTTTCTAAGTCTGTATACTTAGTTGTATTTAAAATACTGATGAAATCCAGTCTTGGCATGCTATTACAAATCCTATACATTTGCAGGAAAGGGAGAGAGGTTAGTTTAAGAAGAAAAGGTTGCTGTCAATTGGAGAATGACCAGCCCGGAGACTGTACAGAGCTTTATAGTGGAATGGAAACAATCTTTATTGCAATGTTTAGGGAGCAACCCGTTTCCAAAAATCTTACCAAGAAAATTGCAGGGATTTGTTCCAGGCAGTTGTCAGGAGTGAAGACAGACTCAAGGGCACACTTTCCTCAAAAAACTGCAACGTTAGGATGAATCCAGAAATAAATGGGCTCAGCTGCCAGTCTGCGATACAGGTGCAAACCTAATTATGGAATGATGCAAATTCTTGATAAGTGCCCTTAATTTTCATGCTGCTCTTCAATCTGCACAATTGCCGATTCCTTCGGATACATAGAAGCCAAGATCCCGGCCTAACCTTGGGATGGGCGGCATCACTAGAAAAATCTGAAAGAAAAACTGCTCCTGAGAACATCCTGGGCAGTGTCCCTTTGCTGTGCGGATTATTCATCTCTATGAACTAATTTTTCGGGAGATATTAGAACAGTCTTTGAGAGTTGAACCAAAAGCTGCACAACACATAATCTATATTAAAGCTAAACACTGTCCCGGCAGCCCCATTCTTAAGGCTTACGAGCTAAAAGAATAGAACAATTAAATTGCAATATGTTTCATTTTGAATGCCAAGTTACACTTCCCCTATCTTATCCATTTTAAAATCCTGACTTTCTCCAGAGAGTCATAATGGGATATCCTATGGTGCAGAGTTTCTCAACCTTAGCAACAGCCGGCATGGTATTCTGACAATTTTAGTCCAAACATCTTAAAATTGATAAAGTTGAGAAACATGGCTTAGAGAAGTCTCTCTTACTTTACTTGGGATGAAGATAATCTAATCGTAAACTGAGATGAGCGCTCTATATTTTCCTATATCTCTCAGTCAACGTTGACGGCTTTCCATTGGAATTGGAATTGGACGCATATCTTGGCGTCCGTCGCACGTTGATGTCGTAGACGGCTTTGCTTGGGGAGTCGGTTGTGACGTGGCAGAAGGCGGAAGCAATGTTGCGGCAGGTGGGAGCTAAGGGGCTATTATTTCCTCGTTTGGGTCGGGGACGCTGTGTGGGTTTCCCACTTCGGGGCTGAAGGGACTTTTTAATATTGGAGAGGGAGGTGAGCTGGAAGAGGACCTGGTGGAGGACTTTCAAGCCAAGGTCGTGGCTGCGGAAAATGAGTACATCTTGCTAGATGAAACCCATCCTAAGCTACACAAGTTGTAGCTGCTTTGTTAGGAGAGGGGAAGACCAGCTTGGTTCTTGCTCTCATCTTTCTTCCTTCTCCTGCGATGTCTGGGCTATGCTCGCAAAGCATTTCTTTCTGTCCCTGCCCCCCAACTGTTAAATGTTTTTGTATATAGCTTTTAATTTGGGTGTGAGTGGAGGAGTTGTATTTCTAAGGCTCCCAGGCGATTAAAATGTGGGCATAATTGGAGTGGAATTGGGTAATATCGAAGTAAAATCCTCTGATGAACTCTAGCAAAAAGTTAAGATTAGGACTACTAGGGTGTGAAAATCCGACGTCAGCAAGACAGCAGCATATAGCGAACTCTAACGATTGCTGTTGCCTACTGGTCATCTGCATTTTTAGCTCAAATATTGTAAGGTGCCCCTAAGATAACGCACGAATAGCAGGTTGTTTGCAGGATTACATTATTCTTAGAGTAGTTTCATTTAGTAGTTATGCAACTAGGTATATGTTCCACTTGCGATTTATAATATCTTCTAGAGTCATCCCACAATCATTCTGAAAGATCAGTTATGAGTATAAGTCTATTTTTCCCCAAATTGGGTGGATGGCCCTGAAGGTTTATTTATTTATTTATTTATTGTATTTTTATCCCGCCCTTCTCCTTGCGGACTCAGGGCGGCTAACAGCCTAATAAAAACAAATACAAAAATACCAAAGTACTATCATTATAATTCATTAATGAAGAAATGGACTTAATATTTAAGTTATACCCTCCCTTCACTCACAAGCTCAAAGCAATGAACTTGGAATTCACTTCTAATTTTCCCTGCAGCAACAACTGCTAACTGAGGCTAGAGATTCTCAGAAAGAAATACTGATGTGCAGTAAAGGGATACAAGTATCCTATTGTTACCTTAAATATATCTGACAGCTCTAAATGTAAAATTTTACTAACATCAGAGCATTATGAACAATGATATCGGAGAATGTTTTCAGAATTCTGTTAATTTGGTTTTCATTAGGGATATAGTTTTAGCTTTAAACAATGCCATGATTTTATCCTTAATTTTAGGTTATTCTTAGCTCAGGTTTTAAGTCTTTTTAGCTTATTAATAATGGTATGCTAAAATGCTATATACACATTCATAGAAAATCATCAAAATTGATGTTTTCTTTGTGGTGCTGTTTTTTGATCACTTATTTTATTCTTTCTTTGAAATAATTATATTGGTTGATTGAAGGCTAAGAAATCGATAACAAATCCAATAACCAGAGTTTATTTTTTGCCCCAGTCTTACCAATGATACCAATGATAATGCTTACAGTAAATTCATAAACATGTTTGTTCCACCTATGTACAAAGAAGACTATGATTATTCACTTTTTAGCTACCAAGTTATATAAAGTAAATAAGTATGTAAATGGTTGCAGTGATGGTGAGACAAGGAGTGTGATCTCCCCATACACCTTTAAAAGGATTTTTAAGGAAAAGATAGTGTGCAGAAATAAGGCCCAAATGCTGCATTGAAGAATTATTGCTAATTAGTAAACAGAGGATTAGACAAACAAATATTCTGAGGGCGACAGTGTAATACAGATTTTGGCATCATTGGTATTGGCTTCAAATAGCAAATAATTAAACATGGTCCCCCATCTGCTTTTTAACATTGCATGGTGTCAGTTTCAAGAATGTACACCTTCCTGAAAACTGCTTTAGAAATCTTGTTGAAGGGCCCATGAAATATTTTCTAGTTTAATGTAGAATAACTACTCTTATTAAAAGAAATAATTTTTTTGTTTAATCTGTTGCATTCCTTTTTATATTGACATTAACTAAACAAGAAATAGACCCATGTTTTGCTATAGAGTTTTAAAATAAAAAAGTTAAATTATGTTGCTATTATTTTAATCAGAGTTTAAAATAACAGTTTCAAGTAAAATTATATATTACTGTACCAAAATATTGGTTCCTCATTTCTATGTAATTTTCTCAGTTTCATCCGGAAGCACCACAGAATCTGGCATTTTCACCAGAATGATGCTGATGCTGATAAAACTTTATCTTGATTTCTTATATATATATATAAGTCAAGCCTGTAAACATACCTAATACTCCTGCTTCTTATTTTTCTCATATAATAACTCTGTGAGGATCATAGTGGCATTCCACCTCACATCATATGTTCAAAGGGGATGGAGCTTGCATCAGAATGTTTGTTTAATCATCTTCCCCTTATCTTCACCTCCAGGCACCTATAGTTTTATCACAATGGCCTAGGTTGGAGGTTTTTTTTTTGAATTGTTGCACAAGGGTATATATTTTTAAAAAACCATGTTTGAAATCTGTATTTATCTCTCTAGGATAGTAATGATGAGACAGAAGATGTTTCGCTTTTTGATGGAGAAGTTGAAATGTCCAGAAAGCCCAGGAAATCAAGAATAAAGTAAGTCTGGAAGTAAGAGGCTGCTATGTCTTAACAGGCTTTTGGGGCTATGGTTGGAAAAAAAAAAGTTCTGGCATGACTTAACTCTCTTACGAAACATTTACAAATATAGTTTGATTTAGTAACTGTGGTGGCAGAATCCTGTGTAGGTGTAGAGGTTGAAAATATTTTCATTAATATAGATTCTGCTTTCGTGCTGAAATCTAGGGGAAGGCTTACATAAAATGAACTGCAATATTTACTTATCTCTTTACCCTCAGCAAACATTTGCAAGAAAATGATGTTGTGGAGTATGGTCTTTCAAGTTAAAGAATTTGTTTGATTTATATTGTTCACATTTATAATAATAATAATAGTTTTCATCCTGCAATAATACCTTTAATACTCTTAAACAACTTCTGCCTAACTAAGGTCCTTGGGAAGGACTCAGTAGATGGACAAAAATGCCAAATCCACTCTAAACACTTGACTGACTGTGTGACCAATCATAATAATATAGTTATGCTAATAAGAACATTGTTGCCTTTATGAAATTGGAATAATGGCATAAATTCTAAAGTTTGATTTGGCCAGATTAAACACTGAAATCGATAACCAAATTATTTTCTTCCTATGTCTTTTACAGACACCCTATAGCTTCCTTTTTCCACTTGTTCTTCCGGGTCAGTGCAATAATTGTCTACTTACTTTGTGAATTGCTCAGCAACAGCTATATTGCTTGTATGGTGACAATCATTTTACTTCTGTCGTGTGACTTTTGGGCAGTGAAAGTAAGTCATTTTGTAATATGTTGATACTTGAAAATGCTTGTTATCAGAGAAATTGGTAGTGCAGGGAACTGTACTATTAATCAAAATTAGAATACTGATTTTGATTTTATTTAGCTTGCTTTTCTCTCTGCTCCTCAAGTACAGAGATCAAAGTAATGAGCTGGAGGGAGAGTGCTCTTTTGAGCTATTTTACTAAAGTTATATCGGAACATGTGTAGAATGTGATTTCCATCATAACATATAATGAAGTTTGCATTTGCATTCAAATATAACAAAGTGGTTATTTCTATGTTTTATTCTGTTCATAGACATTTTACCATGCCTGTATATACATGCAGAAAGCTTGCTCTCTATGACACTTTATAGCTACTTTTTAAAAATTTTAATTAACATTTTGATTGGGACATTACTTTGTCAGAGTCCTGCTTATGTGATGTTTCTGCCACCAAAGTAGACAGCAATTTTTTTTAATATTTATTCTCCTAACCTTTATAGAAGCATAAGAAGTTACTACAGAGTTTTTGACCTGGGAGGATGGAGATCCTCTGGAAAACATGCATGGTTCTTTTGCATTCATGGAAGTCAGAATGCAGCCAAAAACATAAAAAGAAGAAAAAGCAAAAACTTTTCATTGTAGAAGGATGTTGTGCACATTTATATATTAAATTCAGAGTCAAATTAATACAGCCCGATTATGTGTTAAGTGAACAAGGGCTTAAGAGGGTAGAGTATATGTTCCAATTGGAAAACAGTGTTAGATTTGTCTCTTGGCTTGCTTAGGACTCATCATTATTACAGATACTGAACAACAACAAAAAAGCCTCTTTCCCTTGTACAGACTAGTTGTCCTCCTTGGTCATGCTGTCATTGTTGTAACTTATTTTAGATAGCGTGTCGAAGTGAGATAGGAAAATTCAAATTGTTAAATATGTATAATTGCACTTTTATGCCTGACAATACATTACAAATATGTTTGAAAAAACACTTCCATCATGTAATTGTTTTATATCTTGTTATAAACATTCCAGAGTTATTTGGGCAGGAAGACACATGGCAAACTATTATTGTTGCTTTTGAAATAACCAGAAGGCATATAACCTATATTCATGATAGTAGTCTAACATGTCTCCATGTCACTAGTAAAATTATAACTTGCTTGCCAAGCAGCTATTTGCAGTAAACTTAATAGGATTTCTGAGAATGTAGCCCAGGGGCATACTAGGGCAAGCTGAGCAATTGGTAGCTCACTTAGAACTGTGACTCTAATAGCTGCCCATAGTTCTACTGTTGAACAGCACAACAGGAATGAGATTCTTGTTTCGTTAAATTTTGTGCATAAAACAGTGGAGGCATTTGGGGGAGCTTATTTAGTAAAATGTATGATTGGTGTTGCAGGAAGCACTTTCATGCTGTCTTTAACTCTCTCCAGAATATCACAGGGAGGTTGATGGTTGGCCTCCGATGGTGGAACCAGGTTGATGATGATGGCAAAAGTCACTGGGTGTTTGAAGCCAGGAAGGTAAATATCTCCCTTGTTGCTGAGGGAATGACTGTGAATGGTGTACTCTACAGCTTAGAGCACTTTTAATTCCAGAATTGGATACAAGGTCACTACACACAAATCACAGCACAATTATTGAAGGTAGTATTTGTAATATAACGTGCTTTACCCTCTGATTTAGAGACTGGGCCAAAAAAAGATGCACAGTATATGTTTATTTGAATGAGATAAATGATATTAAACAATTGAACTTGTTTTAAAAAATTATGATTGAATGAGCTAAGATCAAACTATCAAATCATACAAGCAATGCATTTTAGAGTTCCTGTAATTACTTTAAAGAACCAAACACAAGCAACAGTTTTTAGGCATGCTGAGAATCTTTTTTCAACCTTATGTCGTGAAAATATTTAGATATATCAGGCCAATGCAAATGAGTTTGAGGGTAGGGTAAGGTATGGTCTCAGTTTATAAATCTTTCAGGCTTGAACAGGAATATGAAGATAGCCTTGAAGAAGAATAAGCAACAGTCATCACAAAAAACACACACATCTTAGCTAGGAAATACAGATAAGGGTGAGGAAGAAACTCAAAATTACTTCACTTTGACTATAACAGGGACAGAGAAACTCTGTCAGGCTTTCCAGGATTTTGTCACTACATCCTATGACAATAAAGATGAGTAACTGTAGTTCTTGTGTTGTCTGTTTCCTGACTAACTAACTACAATTAGTTTTCAAACATTTGATCCCCTTCGGTCTTCATAACATGAAAACTTGCCTAAGCAATATTTATTGTTCTTTACAGACAGTTCTCACTTTACAACCATTCGTTTCAGCAACTGAAGTTACAGCGATGCTGAACTAATGGTATTTACACCCAGTTCCTGAAGTTTTATGGTTACATGATCAGAATTCAGGTACTTGGCAATAGCTGCCTGCATTTATGACAGCAGGGACACTTCAATTCCCTTTGCCTATCTCCCCGCATCTCTGCCCCTTTGAACGTCCTGCATAACGAAACTTATTGGCAGAAGCAGCAGGGCTGGGGTTGAAGTGGTGGCTTGGGGCCTTGGGAAGTGAGAGCCAGCCAGCACCACCAATGGGCCCAATGCCACCTCAAGCACCAAACTGGCCAGATGCCTCTGCCATATTCAGCTGACCTTCACCATCTTCCACTGCTGATGAGGCCTGCCTTGTGTGAGGCAACTGCTGGTTATAAGAGACCTTTTCCCAAGGCTGTTCATGCCATTCTCCAAATCATGAGCAGCCTTGGGAGAAAGGCCTGTTGCAGCCAGCAGCTGCCTCACACAGAGCCAGACTAGGCATGTGGTATGGGCAGTTGGAGTAAGACAGTGAAGGCCAGCTGGGCATGGCAAGGCCAGCAGAGCACAGGGTGACAGGGATAGCTGAGGCTCTGTAAAGTGGTGCTGCGTTGGTCAGGAAGGGCTCTCTCCCTTGATACCCCTTTTTGATAAAAGGATATTTCATTCTGTTTCCACTCTGAAATCCAAAGACATAAAGCTTTCTGTTGCATGATTTCTTTAAAGAATAGTTAGATTCGGCTGATTCAGAAAATGTATTATCATCACTGAGATTTTTCAGTATTTAACGAAAGTAATCTTTTTATAATGTTGCTTTACGCTTAATTAAAAAAATAAAGTACAGTGTAAATAAAATACTACTACCATTCATTTTTAGGCATCTGCTCAGGGGAGGAAAGCTATTTCAGAAGCAGAGTCCAGAATCTTCTGGTTAGGATTAATCACATGTCCTTTACTCTGGGTGATTTTTGCCTTCAGTGCCCTATTTTCTTTCAAAGTTAAGTGGCTGGTGAGTAAAATGTTCATTTGTTCCTGCTAAGCTCATTCTTGGGGGAACAGTGAGGCTTTGGTTCTCTCACATATCTTCCTCTCCTTTTATAGGCAGTGGTAATTATGGGTGTAGTATTGCAAGGAGCTAATCTTTATGGCTATATTCGGTGCAAAGTGGGTAGCAGGAAGAACCTGACTAGCGCAGCAACTTTCTACTTGGGAAGGCAGTTCCTGCGGCAGGTAGGTCAGATTTTATTTTCTGTTCCTCTCCAAGCATTTGCCTTGGTCCTTATCTAATTTTGCATTTCCTGATTTGGCTACTTTTTGTAGGCCTAGAGATTTAAAGAATTCAAGGTCCAACACTAGACTGCTCAGGTTCTGTTACAGCTTCTTTCAGTTGTATGTATTACAGCTCTTCCTTGGACTGTTGAGGAAAGATGTCACATATGCTTTCAGAGTGCTCTTGACTGTAATTTGAATACATATGACTGATCTTTGAGAAATTTGACTTTGAGGGTCTGAAGCTTAGACCAGCGGTCTCCGGCCTTTCTGGTTTGGCAGGCCGGTGGAGGGTGGAGAGAAGATGGTTCTGCTTGAGTGGCAGACAAGCGCGTGCGCAGCTCCATTTGCACAAGTGGCAGGTATGGCTGCTGCGCGTGCACGTGGAGTAGCGCATGCGCTTGCTGCTGCTTCCACGGTCCAGTTCTAAATGGATTGAAGCCCAATAATGGGCCGCGGCCTGAGGGTTGGCAACCTCTGGCTTAGAGGATCCTCATGACTTTAATCTTATTTGCTCCATTTAACTATCTTCAGAGACACTGTTTAGGCAGTATTGTTTCCTTGAAAAAACTCTACAGGTGCTTTGATAACAGCCTTTTCTAGGCAAAGGTCCAGTCATTGTGTCTGCCCACATTTATTTATTTATTTATTTATTTATTTATTTATTTATTAATTAAATTTATATACCGCCCTATCTCCCTTACGGGACTCAGGGCGGTGAACAGGCGATACTAAAAACCACAATAATAAATAAATAGTTTCTGAGCTAAAATCAAATTAAATAACAGGCCTGTTCTAAAAACACCCCATACAAAACCCCCACTAAAACATAATCAAACTACGCCAGGCCGGAATAGATGGGCCTTCAGGGCTCGGCGAAAAAGGCGCAGGTCCACAACTGTACGTAGGTCGGGGGGTAGGTCATTCCAGAGGGCAGGAGCTGCCACAGAGAAGGCTTTCCCCCTGGGGGTCGCCAGCCGGCATTGTCTGGCCGACGGCATTCTAAGGAGGCCCTCTCTGTGGGAGCGGACTGGTCGAAGGGACCTCCATAAAGTGGTATGGAGAATATTTTTTCCAGAATCGGGGCAAGCGCACCCTACAAGATAATTTTTCAAAGAGTTTAACTATAGTCATTATAGTCCTGATCTAATGCTATTTATTTTTCTTTTACAGACCACGCCCAAGGAGGACCAAGCAGTATCTTGAGGTTCATGAAGAAACACTACCTACCATTTTCAGTCCTTATGGAGAATGGGGGAGGGGAAAAACCTATTTCTTGGCCTCTGTACAGGAAATTTATAATCTGTGTCTGGATTTTTGTAATTAAATATGTCTCAAAGAAGTGTTAATTGCTACCATTTCTTACAACTTAGATTTTACAAAGCTCTTCTTGACTCAACTGACTGCTAGACTCTTTAATTAATTAAATGATTAATTCTCTACTTAGAATTAGGTTAAAAAAATAGTGATGATATCTGTGACTATTTATAACATTGCATTCCTGAAATAGCCAGAACTGTCCTCAAGAACTTTGCAGTCAAATATTGTGCTGTTTCAAAACCAGCTTGTTCAAGAAGTCTGATGATAAGGGCTTGAGCAATCTTTCCTCATGTGAGAACTGTGGAATGTAACCTTTAATGCATGACTTAATGTCTACATTATTGTGAGATCAGGTATTTTTAAGCAGGTTTTTAGATCTTAATAAGGAAAACAGAAAATAACAACAATTGGATAATTTCAGCTAAAGGTCAGGAGGAAGAGCTAAGGGTTCCAGTTTCACAATCAGAATAGAAAAACGCTGATGCCTGTTGATTGGCAAAAATTAACTTTCCTGTTTTGTTTGGTTTTGATCTGAGCTTTCTTGACTATTTAGATTTCCCGAGAAACAAGGGCAAATTCTCTTCAGCTTACTATCTGAGTAAAAGCGAATTCTCAGGCTACAACTATGGTAGCCTACAAGGATGTAGATCTCAATTCACATCCTATAGAGAGAGGATGGATTTGAGTGTGCCCCTTTGTGCCACTTACAGATTATTGATATTATAGAAAGACTGTTCTGAAATTGCTAGAGCCATGAACTCATAATAAACCCAAACAAGCAACTTCAGAATTGTTGAAATAAGAGATTGAGCTACTTTTAAACTAGGTGGCTCATGTAAAATTAGCCCAGTTAATCCACTGGATTAATATAGCCCAGGGGTCCCCAACTCCTGGGCAGCAGCCCACTACTGGACCATGGCCTATTTGCAGCTTCGGTTGTGCAAGCGGCAGGCCAGCGGGCGGGCGCAAATGCATGCAGCTCAACTTGCACAAGTCCCCTCCCCAGCTGGACTGCCAAGCCACAAAGGTTGGGGACCACTGATTTAGCCCATCTGCAAATATTTATTTGCAAATGTAAGCAATGCTTCAGTGAATTTAGGCTCTACTAAGAACGTGGTAGATTTCTGCAAACTTTCCTGCTTTGAATAGAGTGAGTTCTATGTACAGGGCCTACCTTGTCACGGTGTGCTACTGGTAATTGGGCTGTTTTTCAAAATCAGAATTAAAATTTATTCAGTTATTGCTGATTACTGTATGGACATCCAATTCTTCATTTCAAACATGATCAGTTTGTATATTTCTCAAGATGCTTAAACGGGAGTTAGAGCTATGTTACAGTTACTGTTCAGATAGTTTATAAGATAAACTTAGGAAAGAAATATTGATTATAAAAAACTTAATGTAAGCCTAATGGTGGTTTATTGTTCGTTTTAAAAGGAAAAGTGGTTGGCAAGTTTCTACATGAATGCTGATTGTTAACGTTCATATTTGGATATAAAAAGTAAAGGTTCTTGGAATACAGAAACAATGTATTTAAAATTTCTGTTTTGCATTGTGCATGTTTGTGGATCTTTCGAATTAACCTGTTTTACAAAGAAATATATTTTTTTAAAGCTGTGAAATTCTGAATGGGTTTGATTTAGTGTGCCAATATCATGTGTCTCAGGTGATACACTATTGTGAGTTTCATGTCGATTAACAAGCTTATGTCTTGAATCTAGTTTTGAGCTTTGTCACTTTCCATTTTTCACAACTGTATTATGTGGGAAGCGGCTGCATTCACTTCAGAGATGCTCATCAAGTGCATTATTAATAGTCTTACTAATCAACTTGATCTTTATCTTTTTAGCTGGACACTGCAGTCATCCAATTGAGCACTTTATTGTTGATTGCTGGCATTCCTTAGTGACATATTAAAAAGCCTTGGTTACCTAAACAGTGGACACTGGCATAAATGACTTAAGATTGCATATTCATTTTTCATTAACTGTTTTCTAATAATTTTATTATTATCAGAAATGAGTCGCAAAAGATTGAATATCATAAAAACAATATTCATACCACTGCAAAGGTAATGATATTTTCTAGGAAATCTTTTCGCCCATTTAACTGAGAGAGAGAGAGAGAGTAAGATACTGTTGTGCCTACATGGGTGAATCACATCACCTTTGAGATGTTTTGTTTCTGCTTATACCAGTGATGGCAAACCTTTTAGAGACCGAGTGCCCAAACTGCAACCCAAAACCCATTTATGCATGGTCAGGTGCCGGGTGGTTTTGGCCATTGGCTGGGTGTGGTCCATTGGGTAGGTGTGGCCCATTGGGTGGGCGTGGCTGCGGTGGTAACCACAGACTGGGTGGGACTAAAAAGTTCAATCAATTAATTCCAACTTTGCAAGATCTTTTTTTTTTCCGCAAGAAGTTGAAATTGATTGATTGATTGAGCCTTTTTTTTTTTGTACACGGCGGTGGAGGCCTAAAGCGAAAAGGTTTTATAAAACCCAGCTGAAGACCTAGGACTGGGGTCACGGTACGCGTGCCCACAGAGAGGGCTCTGAGTGCCGCCTCTGGCACCCGTGCCATAGGTTCGCCACCACTGGCTTATACTGTATCAACAGTATTCAAGCTTTAAAATAACAATATACACAAGTTGCTATTCTTGAGAATCTCCCAATTTTGCAGGTTTTTTGCTGTTCATATTTCCTTTCTTCTCACTCATCAATTTTTCTGGTCTTTGCATTTCTAAAGTTTAATATAATTTCTTTTTAAAACTCTTATTCTATACAGTATCATCTAATAAAATCAAGAAACTTTTCATTGCTGGACCTTCCCCAGCAATAATTTTTACGTAGCACATTGAATTACTGGCAATTTCCCCAATGGTTGTAAGAAGTGAAGGATCATGCTTAACTAGAGAGATGGGTGGTAGATAAATTTAATAAATAAACCATCATTCTATGTTCCAAATTTGCCCATCAGAGGCCAAGCAAATGTCTATCAAATGCTGATCAGATTTCAAGCAAACCTGGGTTTAGAGAGCAGACTGCCTCTTTGACATAATGAAGGCATATCTATCAGCTACTGATAACCTTATTCTGTATAAATCTATCCAGTTGCTTTTTTAAAGTTAATTAACCTTCCAGCTGTTTTGTATACTAGTATATTGCATAGTATATTGTGGAATGCTTTTTTCTGTCATGATTCTTCCACAATTTAGATTTGCGGAATGATTTTTATATTAAAGGGAAAAAAAACCTGAAGGTCTGCATGTCTAAATTTACACTGTTATTATGACTTCCTCACAGCTAACCTGATTGATCTCCAAAATCTAAGCTGAATGAGATCTGATTTTCACTTGCAAGGGAGACCCCCCCCCCAGGGAAATAATAAAGATGTGAGCTACATTGGGATGTCAACAATAACAACAAACAATATTTTGAATTTCTGCTTCCATTTGTTGCTAGCACATATATGTGGACATACTGTATCCATGAAGTAACTGAGTCAAGTTTGAGTTGAATTACTACCTCCTGCTTTATCTTTTTTTTCCTACGTAAAAAGCCTTGAACATTGTCACCTTCCTTTCCTCTTAAGTAAACTGTTCCAGCTCCACAATCATTTTCTGCACCTTCACCATTTCTGCAATAATCCTTTTATCAGAGAGAGTCTGGGGTTTTGCACACAATATTCCAAAGATAATTGCATCTGGAAAGTATATAAAGGCATTGCAAAATGAGCAGTTTCGTTTAAAGTGCCTTTCTTGCTTGTAAATTAGAAGGCAAAGCTGTGTTTCTTTTTAGCTGTAATTGTTACCTTGCTATAATTCTTACTTCTGGAAATTTTTCAAGATTAGTATGCATTTGTGTTTCCTGTACATAGACTATTGCCTCCCCTGATGGTTTACCGCACTTTCTACTAATTATGGGTATCATTTTTCATTCTGGCTGTTTCTAGATGGGCATCTTAATGTACAATGTATGCTTCCCTCGGTGCAGTTATTTGATGAAGCATCCAGACATCCTTATTCTTCTGTCAACATCCCCAAACGCCCTCTTCTTTCTGTTCTGGGATAATCTTTTCAGATGGAAAGCCCTGAAACAGAAGCATGTATGTCCAAAATGATAGTTGTGCCATTAATCTCTTTTTATAAGATATTGGGTGGGGTTAGGAAATCAATATCAGCAGTGCTACTGTGATTGTTTGCCCAATCTCCTCTCTGAGAATTCAGGTTCTTTTCAGTATGTGTGCAAACGTTTCAAATTTTAAATCATTTAGGAAAATAAGGTTTGTAGGTGTTTTGTTCACTTTCAGAAACATTTCATTTGTATGCATAAAGGTGAGATAGCTGTCTAGAAATGAGCATTTAAAAATGCTTTATATATGTCTGTACAACTGCAGTTTCTGAACTAGATGTGTGAAAACCTCCACCTTATTTTTCACTAACATAAAGGAATTTTCCCTAATCAATCCCAGCCACTATGGCAAATGACAAGCTATTATAGAAGCTGTAGTTCAAAGTTTCTAGAGGGCATCAGTTTGCCAGAGTATTCCTATTATAGTCTGTTCTCAGAATATATATATTGGATTCACAGTGGTCAAATTTGTCGATTGGTCTTTTCCCTAATTTTTCTTAAGAAATGCAGTTTAGTAGGTTTGCT